CTTAGGCCAAAGAATATGAAACAGTAATATAAATTTCTATCGAAACGAACGTGATGTACGAATAGTCATTTTATCATGGCCGCTCAGTCTAATTTCGAAAGGTCGAAAAATCCTTGAGAGGTTGAGCAGCGAATATCGAAGAGCCCTCCAGATGAAATTTCGCAAATCCTCCACGTCCAGCCCGAAAATGGAATTGCTCTCGAGGCGGTCGTCAAGCGACCGGATGTCGACCCTCAAGCGGTCGAGATCCTTCCGGGCTTCGATGAAACTTATGTCGAAGCTGCGAGCTCACGCGAGTCTGCGCTTGAACACTGGCTTCGATCTGTCCCCGGTGTCGTCGCGAGGGTCGAAGAAACAACGAAACAAATCGTCCCCGACGGAACAGATCGAGAATTCCTCGAAAGACGCCAGTTCAAAGAGTCCTAGCCTAAAAGGAAACTCGGTTTCTCCGAGATCGAGTGAATCGGAGCCTCACGCAATCGCCAGAGATCTGAAAAGCAAATTGCGCCTCACGGACAAAATAGCGGGGAGGGATCGAGAGAAATTGCCCAAAAAGAACGACATCGTGTCTCCGATAGTACCGCGTGTATTTCGCTGGAAGAGCAACGACGAGACTTCGATGCCCAACGGCGAGAAACACAAGGAAGCTGTTTGTCCTGGTGACCACATGTCCTACGAGAATCCTACTTTCCGGCTGGACAGTTCCTTGGACTCGTCCGTGTCCGGTTTCCTGTTCGAAACCGAGAGTTCCGACCACGTGGCGAGCGAGGTGAAGGAAGAACCTTCGAAGAGAAACCTTGATCCTGGATTAACAATCGTCGTTGATTGCGAGAGATCAACGGGTGGGAACGAAGCTGTGACTGGCGAATTTGCCCGGATGAATCTCGCGTGCAGTATGAACAATCGTCCCGTGTTCGCCGCGACGAAAGGTAGAAGCTTGTCGGTGGACGACGTGGTCTTGCAGGACGAGGAAGTGGCCAGCAGCCTGGTGTTGGACACCGTTGATGGGACGAGTTTCGATTGGAGGAGCGATTACGCGATCGAGAAGGGGCTGAAGAACAGCGAGAAAGCCGTTCGAAAGCCATCGGTTTGCTCGTCAAGGTCCTGTAGAATCCGCACGGTGGACAATATCGCGAATTTTTGGACCAATGCTCGCGGCGGAAGCTTTCGTAACAAGGTGACGGTGGGAAGGAAGAAGTCGATGAGAGACTCGAGGGAACCCGAATCCATGGATAGTAGGGTCATTTTCACGACCACTTCTGGATCAAGTAC